TGGGTGTTACACGCAAACAATGAATCATGGAACACTACATCAAAAACTAATGATGTAATGTATGGTGACTAACATAACATAATAATAATAAAAAAAAAAGAGTCTGCCTTCGGCTCAGGTCATGATTCCAGGCTCCTGGGATGGACTCCCACATCCGACTCCCTACACTGCATGGAGTCTGCTTCTCCCTCTGACTGCCGTTCTCTCTCTCACTGACAAATAAACAAATAAAATCTTTCAAAAATTAAAAAAAAAGAGGACCATACTTTAGATGGTCAGGGAAGGACTCTCTCAGGAGGTAGCACATGAGGGATGGGTCCTGAAAGATGAGAAGGACGCACCAGGTGGAGAAGAGGGGAAACATTCCAGGAAGAAGGAAGAGTAGGTGCAAGAATTTGAGGTGGGAAAAGGCTAGGTGCGCCTGAGAATAGAGGGAAAAAAAACACCTTTGTAACTGAAACATAGTGAGAGGAGAGAATTTGTAGGACAGAAGGTTGGAGGGGTGGACAGGACTTAGCTGAGAAGCAGGTTCTTGGGGGAAGATGTTTTACTTTTGGCACGCTGGGTTTGAAGTGCCAGAGGGGATCTCCAAACTAAGGATCCAGGACTTCGTCCTAAGAACTAGGGATAAGTAGTGAGATTCGAGAAAATATCCACTTGTGTCAAAATCACTGGGGAAGGTTCTAAAAATACAGACTTCTCAGGCATTGAAAATACAGATTTCTGGGATATCACCCTGAGACATTCTAATTCAAGTAGATCTTGGCTAAGATCTGGAAATCATTTTTGCAGTACTCACGGGTAATTCTGATCCATTCATCCAAGAAATATTTTTTGCATTCCTATTATGAGCCAGAAAAATTCTTAGTGTTAGAGATACAGCTCTGAACAGGTTACAAAGCTTAAGGTGTAGAGAAAGAACCAAAGGTGAACACATAAAATAAGTTACAATAATGATACATGTCATTTAAAAAACAGCTGCTGAGTATGGAGGTTCCTCAAAAAGTTGAAAATAGGGGCGCCTGGGTGGCTCAGTCGTTAGGCGTCTGCCTTCAGCTCAGGTCATGGTCCCAGGGTCCTGGGATCGAGCCCCACATTGGGCTCTCTGCTCAGCGGGAGGCCTGCTTCTCCCTCTCATGCTCCCCCTGCTTGTGTTCCCTCTCTCGCTGTGTCTCTCTGTCAAATAAATAAATAAAATCTTTAAAAAAAAAAGTTGAAAACAGAGCTACCCTACGATCCAGCAATTGCACTCCTGGGTATTTACCCCAAAGATACAAATGTAGTGACCCAAAGGGGCACGTGCACCCCAATGTTTATAGCAGCAATGTCCACAATAGCCAAACAGGAAAGAGCCTAGATGTCCATCAACAGATAAATGGATAAAAAAGATGTGGTATATATATACAGTGGAATATTTCACAGCCATCAAAAAATGAAATCTTGCCATTTGCAACAACGTGGATGAAACTAGAGGATATTATGCTAAGCGAAATAAGTCAATAAGACAATTATCACATGATCTCACTGATATGAGGAATTTGAGAAACAAGACAGAGGATCACAGGGGAAGGGAGGGAAAAATGAAACAAGACAAAACCAGAGAGGGAGACAAACCATAAGAGACTCAATCTCAGGAAACAAACTGAGGGTTGCTGGAGGGGGTGGTGGGAGGGATGGGGTGGCTGGGTGATAGACATTGGGGAGGGTATGTGCTATGGTGAGCGCTGTGAATTGTGTAAGACTGATGAATCACAGACCTGTACCTCTGAAACAATACATTATATGTTAATTTAAAAAATAATAAATAAAAAGCTGCTGAAATGTAATTACTGGGATCTACACTAAATAATATAAAGAGAAGATCTCCGAGGAAGTGACTGAGTTGATAGCTGAGAAATAAGAAGGAACAGCCCCGGGGCAGTCCAAGAGAACAGCATCCCAGGCAGAGAGAACAGCCAAAGCAAAGGCTTCATTGAGAACTTGATAGATCTGATTCTTTGTTTTATTCCCACTTGATCAACCAAAATGGGGGAGAAGGCACTATTTCATCTTTATGTGTTCACACACTAAGCACAGACCTTGTACCGGGCACTGTGCCAAGTGCTGATACAAAGATGAGCAAGATGGTCCCCTTTCTCAGAGAGTCTGCAGTCCAATGAGGGAGGCAGATATCAGAATCAGTATGGCCCCTTGAGAAGTGAGAGCATCCCAGATAATCGGTTCATGTTCTGAGAAAGTCAAGCAGATGATTAATACTTTTGCTGCATTGTGATGTGAGCAACTATTTTTGAAACTATGCATAATAAAATTACTTGTATTTCTCTGTGGCCCTGCCAGCTCCCAATATCTGGATTTTTGGTGACATATATGCACCAAGGGATATTGGGTCTGAGATAGTGCATAATGACTGTATTTGGGGGGAAATAGCTTCCTAATAAAAAAAACTAACATGTACAGAGCATTTAGATTCACCTGCTTTGAGCTGCAATTTTATAGTGTTCACAACATCCCTATGAGGAACGATTCCTATTATCCACTTTTTTCAGATGAAGGAACTGGAGCTCCGGGAGGTGAAGGGACTTTCCTGAGGTCATTCAACTCAAATGTGACAATTTCCCATCTCTGTCTGGGCTTGGAGCCTCAGTTCTGGTCCATACCCCCCTCTGATGAATTGCTTAGATAGTGATGCAATTGCTCTCCTCATGCTGGTTGCCAAAGTAGACCCCTCTGTCTTCTTCCCATCCCAGTTGTCCACCTGGGTTGTATACACCAGCCAGATCTACCTGCTTCTCTCTCCAGGGGCCCTCTAGGTAGAAACGTGGAGAGGAGGGGGTTCCTTGTTTGTACCCTGGGGAAGAAGTGGACAGCACCCAAACTGGCCCCTACTGGCTGGCTATACTCAGGCTCAGTCTCCAGAGGACCCCCGTGCAGTGCCCGAAGGGTTGGACCCAAAGCTTAACACCTTGCTCGCTGCCCACCTGTCAGGGAAGAGAAATTACTGGGGCTCAGTGTTCCAAGTCTGAGAAGGGATCGGATCAGGAAAAAGCAAACTGTTAGTCAAAGGGAAGTAGTCAGTCTGTGGCCACCTGCACACAGTTGCGTTGCCTTCCGTTACAGGGAATGTATTCAAATTCAGCCGCTTGAAAAGATGAGCTGGTCATCTTGAGACCGCAGGCTGGCCAGTTTGCAACGTAAAGACCTTGGCTCTCCCCTGCCCTGAGCCTCCTTTTATTTCGGACTTGGAGGGAGTCTGTGCGCCCGTCTGATGGTCTCTGGGTGTGTCCTTCCAGGAGTGCCCGTCCCGTTTCTCAGGCCGGCTGGCTCCCTCCTCCTCCCTGCAGCCTCCCCTCACTCCCTCGTTCCCTCCCTCCCTCTTGTGTGGAGGCTCTTGGCCCAGGTCCTTCAGCCGGGGAGGGTGCAAGCGGAGGACGCAGGAGAGGTGAGGTCACGTCTCCCTTGAGCCCCGCGCCGCTGACTTTTCAGAGCCTCGCCACGAGCAGGCAGCCTCAGTCTCCGACCGCGCGGACCCTGCGCTCCTCCGCCCACCCTGCACCGCCGGCCTCGCCCATGTCTCAGTACGACCCCAGCTCGGACTTCAAGAGGGCTCTGGACAGCAGTCCGGAGGCCAACACGGAGGATGACAAGACCGAGGAGGACGTGCCCATGCCCAAGAACTACTTGTGGCTCGCCATCGTCTCATGTTTTTGCCCCGCGTACCCCATCAACATCGTGGCTTTCGTCTTCTCCATCATGGTGAGTGAATGAGGACCTGGAGCCGCCAGGGAGGGAAGACGTGGGAGGCGTTGCCAGAGTGCCGGGGACCTAGCGCGCTGTCCACCGCTCCCTTACGCACTGCCCCGCGCACCCCGGCTTTTCGGTCCTTTGAGCCTCCTCCTCGCTTTTCTCAGGCTCTCAGCACTCTGCCCTCAACCACCGGCGCTTCCTCTGTGCCGCCTGTGGCGCTCAGAGCCCTGATCCAACCTCTCCCAGGCCGGTTTTCCACCTCCTTCCAGAGCCCATCGTGCACTCTGTCCAACCCGGGGTGTTCTTCCGTGGACTCTGCGGCTTCTTTCCCTGCCTGCGTCCTCTGACATTCGTAGGCACTGGTCCGGTTCTTCTCAACCTGCTTTTCTAGAACCTCAAAGTGCGCCACCCTTGCAGGCAAAAAGCACGCCCCGTTCTCTGAGTGCACGGGTTCTAGGGCCTCCCTCTGTGCCCCGCCCGGGGCTCCTCCTCTCCAGCGCCTGGCACTCTTTTAGCATACAGTCTTTGCTCTACTGAGCCCAGGGCTTCGCCCCGGCCACTTTCTGGGGGTCCCCAAGCGATTTCCGACGCCCTCTCCTTGATCCTGGTCCCATGACTTCTTGGGCACCCCCTCTCCGGGGCAGCAGCTCCTTCTTACTTCTTTCTACGCCAGCTCCCTCTCCTTGGCACTCTCTGGCACCCCTTTGGCCCCCTCTTTCCAGCGCGCCCTCTTGCTCTCCAGGCTTTTCTGGAGCGCCCCTATTGCCCCTCTCACCTGCAACGTGAGCCCTGGCCTTTTACTCTTTCTGCCCCAGCATGTCGTAGTTCTTCCCTCATTTGCTGAGCGCAGACCCTATCTCCGCCTTTCTTGGCATCCCCCAAGGGCTCCCAGGCTCCCCTCCAACGCTCAGTCCCGCGCCCAGGGAGCTCCCGGTAGTGCCCCGGCCACACCTTGCGCCCTTAGCGCGTCCGCCTCCCGAACCGCGCGCCTCTCTGGAGTAGCAGCTGCTGGTGTTCCAGTCTGTCCTCCCAGGGCTCGGCTCCGCGGCCCCCTTCAGCCCGGGTAGGAACTCCCGGGCGAACCCCACCAAGAGGGCGGTGAGCGCCCACGAGGCCCTGCCTTATTGACTGGAGCAGCTGGCCCGCGGGTGGAGGCGGGTAAGGTTCCGCCCGGCACTGTCCCGGGACAACCCTTGGCAGCGATCTCCCTCCGCAGTCGCAGACCGAGAGAGTCCGATTCAGCTCAGGGAAGATCGAAAGTCACCGCCCCCTTCCCCCATTCAAGTCCGCCCACACCTGCCCATGGGTGGCACCACAGACCTCATTTGCACGCGCAACCGCTCTTCCCCGTTTGTCCGCTCCCCGCACCAACATTCAAGCGTGCCGCCGCTTCCCTTCCGACTGCCTGGGTTCAAACCACAGACTAGCTGTATGATCTCTGGAAATCACTGCATTTCTCTTAACTTCAGTCTTTTTGTCTGTAAAATGGGAATAATCGTAGCCATAATTTACCGAGGTTGTTGGATTAATGATATGATTGTAAAAAGCTTGGAACAGTGTTCAGTATGATGTTATTATTAGATCTTTACTCAAATGTCACTTCCTGAGGCCCTCCCTGATTGAGGTTTAAAATTAAAATCCCACAAGCTCTGTTCCCCTTTCCTTGCTGTTTTCTGCCCAGAGCACTCCTCTTCACCTGACATACTGTTTTATTAATATGCTTACTCTCTGTGTCCCCTCCTTAGAGTGTAAGCGCTATGAGGGTAGGAGTATTTGTGGGTGTTGTGTGTTGCTGTATCTTCAGCACCTAGCAGAGAAGCTGGCAGGTGGCAGATGCTCCATAAATCCACGAAATGAATGCATGTGTGAATGAATGAATGGTGTTAATGGATCATGATGTCTGCCTCACTCCTGCTGCCTTTTTCCCCAGACTGGAGCCAGGAAAACCGTGGTATCAGGTTCCTTAGGACCAGCCAGCCAGTTTGCTCTCTTCCTTCCTCACCAGAAATACCGGTCTTGGGTTTTTCCCCAGGCAGTAGCAGACACTCTGGCTGGAATTGGTGCCCACACACTATCCTGATTTATTAATGAATCAGCAGCCACTTCGCCCCTTTTCCCGGCGCCAATTATAAAACTGCCTGCAAAGGCTTTTTCCTTCACTGATCTGAGATGAGCTAACACTCCAGCTCGTGGTGACAGGCTGGATACTAATGATGCCACTTGGTGTGTCCAGGGGGATAAGACTGGTACATGCTTTGAATGGAAAGCTCTCTTTCTTACCCCCCCTCCCCATTTCCTCCCTCAAGACTTTTCCAATAGTTTTAGAGCAAGACACCACTCTCACACCAGAACACAGACTCTGGACTTGGAAAGTTGACTAGAGGCAAGTTTCACACCTTCTTAAAGCCTTGGTTTCTTCATCTAGAGAATGGGAATGTGAAAAACATCTTAAGTTGAGCAAAACTGTTATAAGGATGGAACAGGAAAAAGCATGTCCAGCTCCCAGCATTGTGCTAGGTACGTGCAATAATCGTTGCACAGATGGATAGATTTGGAGCCTGGAAACAACATATGCCACATATGAAAACAAACAGATCATCAAATAAGTGAAACCCAAATTCTGAAGAGCTTCCCCCCACACTCTCCCCCATCACGTAACCTCTAAGGTGTTTTCCCACTGAAACCGTGCAGATCTGGGCTTGACAAGTTTCATGATAAAGACTCCAAAGTCCAAAGAATAAAAAGGAAGAGGAAGGTGTGTAGGAGGAAGGTGGCTGACCAACTCTGCCTCTGTGTGCCTTGCCTATGATGTCTTGTGGGGTCTGGCTCTTTTCAAGTCTGACTTACCTGTAATCTGTGGCAAAACCAGGCACACCGCTGCTGGGTGTGGTGCCAGTCCCCACGGAGGCATTCAAAAATGTTGGGGAGCATCTGTGGTGTCACAGTGATTTGGGGCCTTACTGGCATTTGTTGGAAAGGGCAAAGAGGACTGATGTCCTGCAGTGCTGGAGTCTGTCCCCCAGTGCAGACCTGACCTACCCCAAACATCAACAACACCCCAATCAAGAAACACTGTAAGGTAATGCAAAGTGATATAAACATGACTGTATGGAAAATATTGATAAGGCTCAAAATAACTAGTTCCCAGCGATCTCAAAACAGTGAGACCTTTACTTATTAAACCAAACCAGAGAAGACTTCTAGAAATTACCAAGTTGGAGGATATGTTGGCAAATAAGAAAACGACTTTGAAAAATATACATTTGAGAAGACCGTTCTTCAAGCTGTGGGTGTCTATGATCTTTCCACCACCCTATGAGGAGGTAGGGAAGTCCTGGGGGTTGTGAGGTAGTCAATGCCCTACAGACGAGAATCGGTACAACAAGGCTTTGTCCTTTTGGAACTTTGATGGGGCAAGCATTGCCAGTGGCAGAGACACAGAAATCTTGGCTTCTCTGTGTACTGAAAGTGCACTTAACCTGTACTCAATTTCAGGGATGCATATCTCAAGAACTTCTCCCCAGACTGGCCCGCTTCTAGCCCATATCACATATCCATGGGAATTTGAAAATGGCATATGCAGCCCTGCACCAGGGCACATGGCTTAGAAAGTAGAGCCCAGGCTGGCTTTCAAGCCTCACTCCCCATGCTCCCACCCATCACTGGTTATCTCTGTTTATGCCACCTGAAAGGAACTCCATAATTTCCATATGGCTTTTGCCTCCAGAGAAAGAATGCCTGTTCATTCAACAAATATTTACTGAGCACCTATTATGTGCCAGGCTCTATCCCAGACATTGATATACTCCCTTACCTCTATCAAGGAGTAAATAAGATCAACAAGGTTTCTGTGCTCTTAGATGTAGAAGGAGAAAAGTTCTAGGCAAATTGCAGGAGTACTGGCAATTTTAGGTTGAGTTCGCCATCTGTTGGTTGTGTAGCTGGAATTTGCTACCTGACTCAAGAGACTGGAGTTGAGTCCATGCTGAGCCTCCATTCTTGATGAGGTCGTGAAACAATCATCTGCACAGCTGAACCAATCTGGTCACTCTAAGTGTGGATACCAAAGAGCGAATGACTTTGGATTGGGTGATCTATAAACCTTCTTTCATCAGAACAACTTCTCCTTCACACTTACAGAACCAGTCTAGACACCAACCACTGAGGTTCAAGTCCTTTTCTGCCATTTGCCATGTCTGTGATTTCATGCCACTGATCCAATCTTTCTGAGGCTTGGTTTTTCAATCCTTGTAAAATGGGGATCGTGACAGTACCTATTCAAGTACTGCTCTAAAGACTGAATGATAAAAGTTAAATGTTTTCATCCCATTGCCTAGGACATGGCTAGAACTCAGTAAGTATGATGATGGTGGTGATGATGGAAAGGATGATGATGTGTATATTTTAGGGATACATGCCATTGCCTTTTCCAGTGGCAGTTTTCCTCTTTTTATTGAGACCAGAAAATTCAGTAAGAACAAAAGCAGTAACAAGAAAATATGTCACTGGAATAGATAATTGTTGTAGCCTAAAAGTAAATATTAATGCTAAGCTGGGATGCATACAAATAAACAAGTAAGACTTTTGGTTCAGCATGGAATATCCAACAGGCCTATTTTTCTCCACTCCCTTCTGCAACCACTTAAAATGATAGTAAGTGAACCTAAAAGAGTACAAACACCCAAGGACAAATCAGGGGAACAGATGAAGAGAGGAGAGAGGTGACAAAATCTTGGAACATGGAAAATGGCTAGTTGAGCATTGACTGACCTTATGGAGTAGATATTACTGAATTCTGAATCCTAGAAGAAGCCAACAAGAATAAAGTCTGTTTACCCTGAGAAACTGTGGAAAGGCTCAGAAATTTGAGGTGCCGATTAAAGATACAACCTTTGAAGGTAGGAATAAAGAGAAGGGCTGAAGAGTGGAGGAGTGTTTGAAAGTCTGTTTAAGAAGTCAGTACTACCAGAGGTCATCTAACAGCCCATGCAGTAGGCACCTGACAGAAG